CTTGAAGCATTTGTCATCCTCGTTTTTGATGTTGATACACGCTTTCTTGTTTTGAACCCATTTAGGTAAAGGTATGAACTTACCTCCACGAGTTGGATTGTATTTATCAAAATTGAACTTTATTTTATCCATCTGCGTTAGGACTAATCCACTCTCCGACGCTTCTAATACTTCCGCTTGGTGTTCTATGTCAGTTGCCATTTGGTTTAAGACGTTGGTGATTTCCTCTTCATTGGTTATTTCATATCTTCTACTCCTAACTTCTCTTCTTACGACTTCATTGGTCTTCTTGCTCTTGAAGTTGCTGAATGTTTGTAATAAAACCTTCATTCCCTTATGCTTTCGTAAGTATTCTTTTATCTTGAAGTCTTGATATTTCAAATATTGGATTGCTTTGACGCCTTTAACTCTAATGTCGCTGATTGCGTAAGATGATGTGTAGTTTTTGAATGCTGACTGTTCGGCGGTGATTGTTGCTTTGTATCTTTTTTGAATTCCTGTTAGTGCTTTGTTCTTATCTAAATTTATCCATCTAATGTCTCTCTTCTCTTTCAGTTCATATTTTTTGTAGTCCATAGTCTGTCTTATCTTGTTGAATTTAGTTTTCAATCTGTTCGTGATGGGTTTATTTCTTTCAAAGTTGTAGGTCTTCTCACCTATTTTCAGTTTCTTCAATTCTTGTCCATTCCGTTTGAGTATCTCGCCTGTTTCACTTGATAAAACGTAATCTAAAACTATCTGGTCAGAGCGTTCCATTATATTATATTCTATATTATTATTAGTATGTGTTTCTTTAAGTAGTTTTTCATTTGGATTTGTGAGTTGAGTATGTTGAGACTGATTGGATTGTTGCTGGATTAGATTTTGAGATAAAATTTCATTTTTTAACCTTACACCCTCACCCATTTTCTCCTTAATATAATAAGGTAATATTTCTTTAAGTAGTTTTCGGGTAATGGTTTGCTGTTGGAATTTCTGGAATTGAGGTTGGAAATCAACCTAAAAACGTTCTCATTAAAAATCATCTTTAATGAGAAGGTTTGTATATTTCATCACTGGCATCTGCTGTTCATACAAATGTTGGTTTGACGGTGTTTTGATAGATTGGATTTGCTTGTGATGGTTCGTCCGCAGTCGGGGCAGGTAAAAGGTGTTGATAATTTCTTTTGATAATACTTTGAAAAATAATCTGGGTCTAATGGTTTCTTGTCGTAAGTTCCGTCAGGTTGCCATCTTCTGGATGTTACTGTTGGTGGATTGTGAGAGTTGCTGGATTGGTGTAGTGCTTGTGCCATTTGGTCAAAAAGGTTTTCGTCCATTTCTTGCTTGTGTCCATCAATTACCATATAGCAGGGCATCTTCAATTCTTAATTATATATGGCGTCTTGTCTTTAAGTATTTTTGGGTCTTGTGTCTGAAAAATTGGGTTTTTAAAAAGTGTCCTAAACTGATGTTTTTTTAAGTCTGAAACTGTGGTTTCAGGACACTTGTTGAAGTATGGTTAGTTTGTTTCAAAAACTGTGAATGAAACGGTTCGTCCCGCTTTGAGGTCATCGTCTTATAAAACATCCTCACTTGTTGAAGTCGTCGTTGAAGTCGTCATCTCATAACATCCTCGTCGCACGTCCTAACACAAACAACATCAACCGAAAAACAAAAATCCGCCCACACCGCTTTGGCGGTGAAGGCGTGCTTATTGGGGGGCAACAGCAACACTAAATGCTCAATGACATTTGTTAATATAGCAGTCGCTATATCAGCTTTAGCTGGGGGGGGGGGCCAAAAAACGGTTTCGCACCGAGACCAGAATACGGTGGTGTTTTCGACATTTTTCGAGGATTTTTGGGTGTCTGAGCGCAAGAGGGTATTGAAATGGAATTTTGGGTCATTTTGGTAGCTTTCCGGCAATGGAAAAACGGCCAAAAATGAAAAAAACATTGTACATAGCAAGATTTTGCAGGGTTTTTGGATGCCAGAGCATTGAAAACACTGCAAAAACAAGTGTTTTGGACTGACGTTATAGCAAAAAACGTGTAAATTACCGTATGCTTGACTGGAAACATTACAAAAACACTGTCAAAAGCAATGTTTTGGAAGGATTTACTGCCTTTATGGCAAAAAAAACGTGTAAATTACCGTCTGTTTGACTGGAAACATTGGAAAAACACTGTCAAAAACAATGTTTTGGAAGGATTTCTTATATATATGTTGGAGTTGGCTACCGGCATTGGCACATGGAAAAATTGAAGAAAACACTGTAAATAGCGGTATTTTCAACGGTTGGGGAGATAAGGGAATTGGAAGCATTGTCGAACATGATGTTTTCGACCGGTTTTATGGCGACAAAAGTGTAAAGTACCGTGCTTTGAAGGAAACCATTGCAAAAACATGGAAACACATTCAAAGAACACGGGATTTGGGGGACTATCTAGGCGTCGTTGTCTAGCTATTTGAAATTCCGCAGCTTGGAGAGCCTCCAAGGGAGGGAAAAGTGAAAATTCCATAGCTTGGGAAGCTGTCACGGCGGGGAAAAGTGAAAATTCCCTAGCTTGGGAAGCCCCCACGGGGGGGAAAAGTGAAAATTCCCTAGCTTGGGGCCCCCACGGGGGGGAAAAGTGAAAATTCCCTAGCTTGGGGAGCCCCCACGGGGGGGAAAAGTGAAAATTCCCTAGCTTGGGGAGCCCCCACGGGGGGAAAAGTGAAAAATTCCCTAGCTTGGGGAGCCCCCACGGGGGGGAAAAGTGAAAATTCCCTAGCTTGGGGAGCCCCCACGGGGGGGGAAAGTGAAAATTCTTAGCTTGGGGAGCCCCCACGGGGGAAAACCACCCTTAGCCCCTCTCACGGACCGAAATAAACTTGCGGTGTGGGCGGCCACCCCACGCGAAGCGGGGTGAATATATATGGAAGTGAATGGAGGGGTATGCCTTCATCCTAAAACCCACAGAGCAGTTCGCTCCCTCCTCCATTCATCTTCCTTTTTGTATATCGTTCGCATCATCCATCGGCGTCATCTTAGTTTAAAGGTCGTCGTCCATCACTATCATCATAAATAAGTAATTATATCATATATATATATCAAAAAAACAACCTGCCCATCACCAACCTCCAACCACCAAAACCGACCAATCCACCACCCGATGCTTGATGTTCTCTGCGACGTCCCTTCTGACAGACAGATAAACAGACGTGTTATGTATGTATGTGTATTTATGTATGTGTATGTGTATATGTGTATGAGTATGTATATGTGTATGTGTATGTGCTTGTATGTGAGTATGTATGCGTAGAAATAAACTGCTGTGTATATGTATTTCAACAGGTTTTTCGTTGAAATGTTCATTGAAAGAAGGTTTGTCTTTGAAGACTGTTTGGCAAAGTTTCACGTTCCATACTCTGGTTGAAACCGTGTCCTACAATCAAGTCTTGAAGACTGCTTCCAGTGTCATACCTTCCACCCTTTGGTTGAAACCCACCGCCGACCGTTCCACCCCTTGTGAAAGATGATGATATTGATATCTTCATAACCTCGGTGCGGGGTGATGGCAACCAAAACAAAGGCGGTCGGCGTGAATGGAACTGACTACCAACAAACACACATCCAAACACTCCAAAGTCAGTTCGGCAAACAATTCTTTTCACTGGCGTCGGCAGAAATGAATTCAAGTCTTTACTGTCGGTTGGATGGACTTATAAAGTGTTAAATGCCATCAAAACCACGCTGACAGCCTTTCAAGCAAAGGCTTGAGAGATGACACTGGTATAGACCAAATGGTGTCAAATTAATGATGCCACGGTTTTCTGTGCTTGTGTCATAGGAACAGGTCGTGCAAAGAGACAGTCCAACTGGCAGGTCGGTATAAAGTTTCTTCATACCGAGGGTATTGAAGGTCTTTATACCGAGGGTATAAGGGTAGTCAATACCACTATACCGAGGGTATAAGGGTAGTCAATACCACTATACCGAGGGTATAAGGGTAGTCAATACCACTATACAGAAGATGCAGGGTTCTTTATACCGGTCGCAATGGACAGGGTCTCAACAAATTACACAACGGTTTGACCCTTCATTTAAGGCATTTGCCCTGTTGGCATCACCGTTGTCTTCCCCGTTTTGGTTTCGTTCGGCAACACGGCGCAAGATGGACTGGTAGTTGATGGCGCTGTCAATGTCCTTGATGAACATCTCATTGTCAAAATTGACGGTTAGACCATTGCTACACTGGTTGTATGACCTTGCGTAGCATTCAGTGTATGTAGCAAAGATGGTTTCCTTCAAAGAAGAAAGGTGCTTCACATAGCCATCAACCTTGTCCAACTCATCCATAACAAAAGGAGCGGTTTGGATGAGTTTGTCCTCTGTGATAATCTTTGATGATGACCTTTTGCCGTGCTCATCCACATTGCCAAACACATGCTTTAGCACCTTCAACTTGTCTTCGTCCAAGCCCTCCAAGACCTTTTTGATTGTCCCATCTTCGGTCATCACTTGTTGTTTCAATGATGTCATTTTGTCCTTGATGGGTTGAACAATGCCCACCAACTCCTGCGGACATTGTCCCTCAACTGCCTCAAAGGATGTCCTCTTGCGGACGGTTTCAACTGCTCTTTTGACCAGTTGTTTGATGCCCTCCTCACGCTTGAGATGTGTTTTCAAGACGCGACGGTTTGACATTTTGTCCGATGTTGCTGAAAGCAAATTGAAAGATGTTGAAACAATTTGAGCCAAAAACGCTCTGGGTTGAGATATGCCAACATCTTTTCAATGACATTTTCCAAAATTTGATGACAGCACATCATCCAATCTTTGTCAAAACATTCCAAAGACATCTTAGTAATTTCAATCGCTTCAGGGTCTGGTTGATTTGAAAGACTGCTTGGCAAGTGCTCTCCTTGTTTTAAACAAGGCCTGTTGTTCAAAACCTTGTTTCTGCAAGTCTCACACACAAAGCCCGCGCCCAAGCAACACAGTACTTTTGACAGCAGCCAACTGAGGTCTCACCAAAACCTACGCTTAGGTTTTTTTTGACAAAGCTGTGAGGGCGTCAATCTTCTTGGTGAGGGTGTCAAACTTCTGGTCAAACTTCGTCTCGGCAATCTCCACCCTCTTCTCAATGGCAGTCACCTGCGACGCGGTGCTGTCTTTCAGAGCCGCGGTGCTGTCTTTCAGTGCGTCTCGGTGCTGTCTTTCAGAGCCGTCACCTGCGTCTCGGTGCTGTCTTTCAGAGCATTCACAGCCTGGCCAAGAAAGGCTGTGGCTGACGCCAACAGAGCGGCTACAACAGTAAAGATGATGCTGGTGGCTGTCCCTGCGTCAATTCTAGTTCCTTCAGTGCTCATGGTTTGAGCCGTAGCCTCTTGACCACCCAGTAGCATCAACTGGATGGGCAATGCAGCAAGGAGGCTTTGCCGCTGGCCTACTCCGACCGCCGGAGGCGGAGCAAAGTCCTGCGGCATTGAGCACACCACAACCAGCAGACCAAGCAGCAACGAGCGAAGTGGTCGCTTCATGCCCTGCAAGTCAAGCTACCAAATGATCGAATTTGCAGTAAATTATGTTTGTGCCAAATCAGCTGCAGAAGCCCTTGCAACTTCAACGCAGTTGTGCGAACAATGCCCTGCTGAAAATCTTTACATCACACCAAAAACAGAAAACTGACCATCTGAGCAGCCCGACGCAACAAACGAAGAGGTAGCGGATGAAGTTGTAGACAGTGGGAAGTGCATGAGCGGAACACGAAAAACAGATGGAAGAACAATAGAAAGCAAGACCAACAAATTATAATAAAATGAAAACCCCAACAACCTCAACAAACCCTGAACCAAACAATGATATACCCTAAAATAACAAACAAGGATAAGATGAAACGTTTTTACCAAAAATGGCTTAGAACATACCAGACATAAAACATCAACACCAAGGAACAAATGTCCCCTCTTAACATAAAAACCATAACAGCCAACACATAACGCTGGGATGTTCTAGCATCCCCCTTTTACCATTTTTTTCCCCCCCCGCCCCCCTTGCTCCCCCTCTCCCCGAAGCAGAAGTACAGGTATATCAGCTCCTCCTCCTCCTCCTCCGCCTCCTCCTCCTGCTGTTGCTCCTGCTCCTGCTCCTGCTCCTGCTGCTCCTGCTCCTGCTGCTCCTGCTCCTGCTGCTCCTGCTCCTGCTGCTCCTGCTCCTGCTGCTCCTGCTCCTGCTGCTCCTGCTCCTTGCTGCCCTGCTCCTGCTGGCTCCCTTCTCCTGCTCCTGCTGCTCCTGCTCCTGCTGCGCCTGCTCCTGCTGCCCTGCTGCTCCTGCTCCTGGCTGCTCCTCTCCTGCTCCCTGCTGCTACCTGCTCCTGCTCCCTGCGCCCTGCTTCCTGTGCCCTGCCCTGCTGCTCCTGTTCCTGCTGCTCCTGCTCCTGCTGCCCTGCTCCTGCTGCTCGCTGCCCTAGTCTGCTGCTCCTGCTCCTGCTGCTGCTCCTGCTCCTGCTGCTCCTGCTCCGCTGCTCCTGCTTGCTCCTGCTCCTGCTGCTCCTGCTCCTGCTCCTCCTGCTCCTGCTCCTCCTGCTCCTGCTCCTCCTGCTCCTCCTGCTCCTGCTCCTCCTGCTCCTGCTCCTCCTGCTCCTGCTCCTCCTGCTCCTGCTCCTCCTGCTCCTGCTCCTCCTGCTCCTGCTCCTGCTGCTCCTGCTCCTCCTGCTCCTGCTCCTCCTGCTCCTGCTCCTGCTGCTCCTGCTCCTGCTGCTCCTGCTCCTGCTGCTGCTGCCGCTGCTGCCGCTGCTGCTGCTGCTGCCGCCGCTGCTGCTGCTGCTACTACTGCTACTACTGCTACTACTGCTACTACTACTACTACTGCTACTACTGCTACTACTACTACTACTATTACTACTACTACTACTCCTCCTCCTCCTCCTACTCCTCCTCCTCCTCCTGCTGCTGCTGCTACTGCACTCCTACACTCCTACACTCCTACACTCCTACACTCCTACACTCCTACACTCCTACACTCCTACACTCCTACACTCCTACACTCCTACACTCCTACTACTACTACTGCTCCTACTACTACTACTACTACTCCTACTACTCCTACTACTCCTACTACTCCTACTACTCCTACTACTCCTACTACTCCTACTACTCCCTACTCCTACTGCTCCTACTGCTCCTACTACTCCTACTACTCCTACTCCTACTACTCCTACTCCTACTACTCCTACTCCGACTCCTCCCACTCCTAACTTCTTCCCCAGTACTAAACCGGTAGTGCTGGTAGCTGGCACATTGTCCACAGCACTACAGACAAACTAACCGACAGCTGCTCATTTGGTATGCGGTCAATAGGTTGTTAAAGTAAGCACTTGCTACTCAAGCTGCTGTCTTAGTCTCTGCTTCTTCCTATTCCTCTTCCTCTTCCTCTTTCCTCTTCCTTGTCCTCTTCCTCTTCCTTTTCTTCTTCTTCATCTTCTTCGTCTTCCCCTTCGTCTTTTCGCCTTTTCGCCTTTTCGCCTTCGTCTTCTTCTTCTTCTTTTTCTTCTTCTTCTTCTTCTTCCCCTCCTCCTTCTCCTTCTCCTTTTTCTCTTTTTTCTCCTTTTTCTTCTTTTTCTTCTTCTCCTTCTCCTTTTTCTCCTTCTCCTTCTCCTTTTCCTCCTTCTCCTTCTCCTTCTCCTTCTAATTCTGCTTCTAATTCTCCTTCTCCTTCTCCTTCTCCTCTCTTCTCTTCCCTTCCCTTCCCTTCCCTTCGCTTCGCTTCTCTTCTCTTCTCTTCTCTTCTGCTTCTCTCTCCGGCTTCCACCTTGAGTTGACAGCAAACTCACTTGGGGCCACCTCTCGGCCGGCGGGCTTGCGGCAGGCAACTAAATATAGTCGTGTGCAAACGCTCATTATCGCTCATTGTCAATCTGTTGAAAAGAATGAGTGGATGTGCGACACGGCTCGCGAAATCGAAGCAGCCACTCAGCCACTCTGCAAGAGTGGCTGGAGCAGCCACTCAGCCACTCAGCCACTCTGGCAGAGCGGCTGGACCAGCCACTCAGCCACTCAGCCACTCTGGCAGAACGGCTGGACCAGCCACTGTGGCAGAATGTCTCAGTGGGTGAATAGCTAGTGCAGCTTAGCCAATGGAGTGTAAGCAGTATTACCCAGACCTAATTTTTCTTAGGTCTGGGTAGTTTTTGAAGTGAAGTTTTATGCTAATTTAGGGTTTCTTCCTTTATCTTGTGGGCACCGGTTGATATATTCTTATGGATTGAATGAATTTTATGCAAACATCTGTGTTAAAGGGTTGTGAGAAAGAAGTCATTAGCCATTTGTGTTAAAGGGGTTCGCTCTGTGGGTCTCTGCGGATCATCACGGTGAAAGGAATGAGACATTTGGTTAGAGTTCCAATGTTTTCATATATGTATGTTATTAAAG